TTTGTTTGCAATTGTAAGGGATGCATAGTGATATTGTAATATATTATTGTTAGCGATTATTACAATTATTATTTGCAATATATTGCCAGGAAATGCCAGGAATATATTATCATTGCACTGTAAACAGGGATATATACACTATAAGTTATAACTACCAATCAGCTACAAGAAAGAATTGCAAGGTATCTCAAGATTGGCCATGGATTGTAATCATTTCCAAAGTTTTTCACCAGGCATTTTTTGTAGTACCAAGGACGTTTCCCAATTTGCAGCTTCCGATCATTGACGCCCCCGGAGGATTTGATATCCTTTGATCCAAAGAGTGGATGAGGTGACATCACAGGTCAGTCAAGCTGTATCTTCTATGCAGGCATAGAACTATATACAGAGTGTTTACATGTTACAGTTTATATGACACTTGCAGAACACGTACCCTACATACCCATGCAGAAAAAAACGCATTGAAGAATAGGAGTCTTCTTTTTGTGAAAATCATTGAGCACTCCAAGCTTTGAAGCTCTACGACTTGGTTATTCAAGGAATCTGTGGCATCACCAATTGCTTGTGAAATCACAAGGATCACGGTAGAAATAGATAGACACATCATGTATAATAGCCCTAGAAATTGGTGTTTTTGATAACCCTAGAAATTGGTGTATAATACCTATTTTGGTCGGAATTTACTTTTCCATCTTTGCCAGGGCCAGGTCGGAAAGTCTGTTTTTCGATCCTCAAAGATGGAGTCGTCCAGCTATTCTTTTTACGAAACACATCCGAGATCGGATAATTTAATTTAATATATCTATAATATATCTATAATATTATTCAATACATATATAATACATAATTATATGATTTTCCATACAATGTACCCTCTGGTAATGACTAACATAGCTATTGAAAATCACCATAGAAATAGTGGATTTTCCCATTAAAAATGGTGATTTTCCATTGCTATGTTAGTTTCCAGCTGGGTTTTTTCGAGGTGAAACACCGGCCACCGAAGTTCCTTCCTCAGTTTAGGGCGGTCAAAAAAAGGGGACCAAGCTTGACATCCTGTGGAAATGGGTGGATCTTCATGTGTATGTTAAACCATTATATTATATTACTTTTATTATATCATATTATATTGTATTATGTTATGCTATGTTATGTTAATTATATTATATCGTATTATTTTTCATTATATCGTATTATGTTAAATTATATTATATTATATTATATTATATTATATATATATTCTGCATATTAAGTTTCTTTGATTTTCAATCTCATATTATGTTAATATTCATGGTGGATTCAAATTGCCGGTGAAACCCACAATTATATAAACCGAAATAACTGGAAACCATAAAATGGCAACTTTTCATCGGGGGAACATTGACGTTGTTTGTCAGCATTGGTTGGACAAGGAAAGGACGTCACCTCCCCGCTGTTGGGATATCTACAAGGGTTATAGATGGTTCATGGTTCTAGTAAGTGGTTGAATATGAATGTCATGCACACATTTATTCATTAACCGTCCCTAACGGCTTACCAAAAATGCTGGCTGTTTCTGAAACAAACCCCAAGCATAGGTGATCACATCATTGGGTTTACTGCGTTTGAAAACTGGGGGTATCCCATCTTCATTCAGACCCTTGTCACACAGGTATATACATTTACATATACACCAGTAGTGCTCGGCCATGCCGGGGGCCTCGGGGCGGAAGTTTCCAACAGGAGCAAATACTTCAATTACTGTAAGAAATCAATGGCCTTTTGGCCCATAGGAATGTCAGTGAGATGCAGAAGCAATGAAAGATTGAGGTTGTGAATCAATGAATGGGTTCCATGAAATTTATATAACCGCCTTCGGCGTGGTCCGCCGGCCACCATGGAAAGAGCTATCCTGCAAGCTGAAAACAGCGCTTGCACAGGCCCAGCAAGAACATGGTTTTAGTGTAAAATGTGGTGTTTGTGTATAACACTATTGTGTCAAACAGCGCTTTGTGTAAACCACGGTTTTGACGCAAAAACATGGCTTTTGTTCAAACCACGGTTTAAATTTAAACCAAAGCATGTGTGTAATCAAACCAGGGGTTTGGAAAAGGCCATATACAAAGGTTGTGCGTGTAAAAGGTGTTCGGGACAAAAACCAGTGGATCAAGTATTGGATATAAGAAACGATGGAGCAAGCCGATGGAAAACACAACAAAAAGGCGGAAACAACCATGGAAATGACATTGAAATGACATTAAAGAGACGGATGGGGTGGGTTCAAGTTAGACGAAGCAAAAATCTGCGCCAAGGGGAAAGTCTAGACAAAGACAAAACATACAGAACAACTACGAACAAGCAAGATCCACAAGACACGCTGGTAGGCCGGCGGACTTTGTGTCCTTTTACCCTCTGGTAATTTAACATAGCTATGGTGATTTTCCATAGTTATGTTAGTTTACCAGAGGGTAATTACGGTTGCTTTTATCACCCCATTGAACTTTGTTCGAATATCATTGTCAATGGCCATTGATGAACTCCCCAACGATGGCCCCAACGATTGGAAGTTTTGATCAAATCCACCAGATTTCGTGAAACCCATCGTCTGACAGCCCCATGACTCTTGAGAGGAAACCGTTCGAGCTCTGATGCAGCAGTGATATGTGGAGCAAAAAGATAGCGCTTGCCTTGATGCAGGAAAAACAGCCGGTTTTCCTGCTGTTATGTCGAGGTTTTAGTCTTAGGCAATCTCCAAAAACCCAAAACGATGCAGAACAGTGAAATCCGATTTGAAGACAAGGGTCAGTGGGCCGGCTATAGTTCACCCCAGTTGTAAGGGCAATGTCCACTAAGTGGGGTGATAACATGTGATAACCCACTTACGAACTTGGATGTACCATCAAAATCCACCTTAAATACTGCAAAATGATGTTGTTCATAGATTCATAGTACTTGATAACCACTAAGATCCACTAAGTCACTAAGTTAATTCACAGGTTTTTCGAGTTGACTCGTTGACGTTGACACGCCCTAGGCTCAACGAAGCTGAGTTGTTTCAGGCGATTCACTTTGCGAGCTATCCCAGGTGAGGGGTGCAGTGGACATGATGGTAGAATATATGTACATAATTGTACACATATATAGATATTGATATTGATATTGGTATAGATATAGACATATAGATACAGCTATTTAGATGTAGACATAGATATGGATATGCATGGATATGGATATGGATGGATAGATAGATAAATAGTTTGATTAATAGATAGAGAATCATCCTGAAGTAGATAGAACCTGGGATGTTCCAAAATATTTCCACTTTTCCTGACTTGTGTTTTCCATATTCTATACATCTAAACTACTGTTTTTATTTGGGTACTTCATTTTCAGACACTTTTTTTTTGGATGTGAATATGTTTCCAGGACCCTAGGAACAAACACATCCAACGTTGACGATTCAACCGTGTCTAGTGGAGTTTCGAAGAAGAAGAAAAAGAAGGAGAAGAAGGAGAAAAAACAAACAGTTCAGAAAAAGTGGAGTTGCTGACAGAACGTTTCACATGACAGGTACATGAAACTTAAGTGTGAAGATGTCTCGCTACGTTTTGCGAACTTTCAGCCAGGGGCATGGCCATGGTAGCCATCATGGCCTAGTGATTCACCGATATTTTACTGGTTGGTGGTTTGGAACATGGCGATATGATTTTCCATAGTAGAAATTGGATATATAATCCTTCCCATTGACGAAGTCCATCATTTTTCATGGTGAAATAGCACAAGTTATATAAAACCACCAAGCAGTTTTTCAGAATTGATGGGTGATTTTCGCCAACTGAGGCCAACTGCTATATAAGTTACCCAAGGATCCCTCCATGACACCCCAGGAAGGCGGAAAAAACCGACGCAAGGCGTGTGACCGATGTGCAGATCGTGGTTTATGCGTGGGGAGCCCAGCTCGAAACATGGCGTAAATCATGGGTCATGGCGTAGTGTCGTGGGTTTAAAGCCTGGATTTCCAAACGGCTTGGGTTTTTCCCAAATTATTGGGATAATCAGGGTTTTTTACCGATAAATCATGGCTTGGTCAGATGTTTTGTGTCATAGGCAGGTGCAATGAGCGAATAGGTAGACCCGTAGGCTCAAGGAAGACGATACCAAAGCCGGCTTGTCCGGAAAACATTGGGTTTGGCACAGAAACACAAGGTTTTGATGATGTATGAGAATTTTTGGGTATTTCAGACAAAACCATGTTCCTGCCGAAAATGATCGTGGTTTAGCTTTATGTATCTTGAAAGAACACTCATTTCCAGGAAACACAAACCTGTTTTGCAGACAAGGTGTCCGGGTACCCAAACTTGAGATGTCCCTCTTGCGTAGGCCGAACATAACATCGACTCAGATTTGGGTTCTGGCCGGTTCTGGCCGGTTCTGGCCCTCCAAAATAGATCGTTTTCGTAGAACGACGTGACTGAGTCCATCTCCGGCAGGAATAAACACCACAAGAACCTGGACTTGCTGCAGCATCACGCGCCCTTTCCCGTGAAGATTCTCCGGCAGGAGATGGAACATGGCAGTCATGGTCAGATGGCTGAGGATTTGGCTGATGCCATGCCCCATCGACAATTGGGATGTCATAGAGTTATAATACCCATGACGGATCCATGGTGCTGCTATATATATATATCTACATGGTAACATGGATCCCATCAATATACTCCCTTTATGTTAGCATATATACCAGCACCATGGATCCGTCATGGGATATCCAGTGGTGGGTTATTCAACTCAAACAACACGACCGGACTTTTCTTGGTGAGATGGCCACTTCGCAAGTCCTGCTGGAAGTTTCACCGAGAACCAATCCCCATCAGGAGGTTAAGGAAAACGCCCTGGTGGCATTGTGGCATTTGAATGTTTGTACATGTTTGTACCCTCCCGTACTCAAATGTGGCTAGCTGCGAAAGCCTCGAACTAAATATAGGTTGAAGCAACGGGTGAATTTTCCAGCCAGCCACGTTTGATTTTCAGAGGGGTATCTGAGACATGTCACCCAAAAGAATGGAATGTGATTCACTATTTCACAAGTTACAGCATGATGTTGACATCATTGGTGATCTTGACATGGCAAACTTGGCCGCACCAACACGCAACTTGGAGGCTCAGACCGACAAAAAAACGGGGAAGGCCTTCCTTTCCCGGCGATGTTTTCTGTGATATGCACATGGAGTAGCCTGGCCATGTTCGCCGGGGCTATCAATACATCTCAGACCGAGCATTTGCACGTGCCTTCGCAGCCTTCCCAGCCGCGCCGGCATGTGGTCCCGATGCAAGCGACCGTTTTGGCCGAGGGTGACACGCAGGTGGCTGTTGTTGGTGGGTAGAAATTCAATAGTAGCCTGGTGAACACAACTGAAGAGTAACTCCTGTAACTTCAACATCTATTTTGGCATTGTATTGTGTACCCTCTGGTAATTTAACATAGCTATGGAAAATCACCATGTTCAATGGGAAAATCCACAATAAATGGTGATTTTCAATAGCTATGTTAGTTTACCAGAGGGTAACTCGTTTTCCAAGCTTTTTCTCGAACACTCTGCTGACAGGTGCTGATGCGCAAGGAAAACGTGTCGGAGATTGATGCGAGAAGTTGCACCTGTACAGATGTAGACTTGAAGGGCAAGAAGTGGTCTCCGGGCGGCTTGAAGAAATGCGTTGGAAATTGCAAAAAGGTCGCTGTGGCGAAACAACAATCTTTGACTCCCAAAATTGAATAGCCTCCAGTAAACCAATATATATATATATAGCCTATAGCCTATAGCTATTTTTTTCCTTTTTTTGATGATCTACATATATTGCTGTGTATAGCTATGTTAATTTAATTACCAATAGTTCACCCAAAAGAACACAGTTTTCCATGCAGATCACAGATTTGGATCTAACGATTTAAAGAGCCACATTGCTTTGCAGGTACAACAGAGATCATTTGGAAGGGTTATACCATGGTATACCCTCTGGTAATTTACTGTAACATAGCTATTGAAAATGGCCATTTATAGTGGATTTTCCCCTTAAAAATAGTGATTTTCCATAGTTATGTTAGTTTACCATGGTATACCCCTGTGACAGTAAGTGCACACTGTGGCTAAACCATCAGCCCAGTTGCTGAAAAAAAACGGTGAGATTCATTCGCTTGAAGGTGGATGGGGCCCAGCCCAATGAAAGCATCGGTTTTTTTCTTGGTCATTTGGTAAACATCGTGTCATTTGGGTGGTGAAATCATGTGAAATCTTCATTTCTGGTGCAGAATCTTCTCTCAGGATTGTCACGATCAAATTCTGGCTTGACCACCCTTTTTGCCAATGGCTGGTTAAACATGACGGGGGTAAACATGGTTAAACTAGTTTGCCCTCTGGCAATCAGACATGGCAACAGAAACTCTTTTTTTTTTATATGGGAAGTCAACCATAAAGGGCGGCATTTCCAGCTAGCCACATAGATGACCAGAAGATATAACCACACATTTTTGTAATCCAAATGGGCATGGACCAAGATGATCACTCCGCAGAATGCATTGTTTCATGCGTTAAAGATGACTGGCCTTTTGTTTGTCCAAAAGGGGTACAGCAGTCCCGAAACTTCTGGGTGGTTTCATGGCGATGATCGGATGATCCCAGACTTGGAAGGGAACATTTGCACCGCCCATGTTTTGTAGCACACGGATTTCGTCTAGAAACCCCCAACCAGATTTTTTTTTTCGGGGGGTGGCTCAACATGTTTTCCACCACCCTTCATCGTTCGCGTTGCGAATCACCCCTGAGAGGTCTCGAAGGCGACAGAAGTGAACGACTGCCCGAAAGATTGGAAGATTTTTTCGCCCAGATCAAAGGAGGACTGGGAGACCATCATCTCCTTGGATGTCATCAAGGACTGAGTTGTGAAGTCATCCGAAAACTGCTACCTGATTCGTATAAACATGTAATATATATATATATATATGTGTAATATGTAGTTATACTATATATATATGCAATATACTGTGTAACAGTGTGTATATATACAGTACTATTAAACATGTCTTGACCGATTCTTATATGATTAACCCATTTAACGCCAACATCTGATTAATAACCCCCCTCCCCCTCAAACATAAAGCACATCCAAATAAAGTGAGGCCAAACAAAGGTCTGGGGTCCCTCTGTTTTTTTTTTAAAACACATTTTAGTCTTGCCGAACAAATTGCCTAATTGAAAGGGAATGCATAATTGTCATATTGGGAGTATATATAATATATATATATATGGAATATAAGTTTCGTGGAAAGCTCTAAGAAGAGGGTTGAGGTAGTAAAGTAATTTATATATATATACTTTAAGTGGATTTATATTGAGTAGATTTACCACAATTCCCACAGAAAAAAGCAAGGACTTTATTATATAAGGGGGTATATAAGACATTGCTTTTTATTGTGGTTCCGAGATGGTTCAATGCTACCCCTCTGTGAACTTGGCTTTTGCATTTTTTAAATAAGGACTTTGTATAGAGAAATCGAGGCATTCAGTTTTGGTAGATGAAGTTAAACACATTTTGCCTTTGAGATTTTTCGCAATCCCTAAGTACAACGAAGAGGAAAACGATGAGGTTCTCCCGGAAGAACCCGGTGGGTTCAGAAGTACCTCCAACTGGGGTGGCCTGTTGGCCATGCACATTTCGGGGTTTTCTGATCGCCATGAGCCGAAACAATCCATGAGCAAAAACAATTTTTGTTTTTTGAGCTGCAAGAACGTGTGGGTTCTAAGCTTCGGAGATCTTGGAGGGCCGGCTTTTCACCACATTTTCCAACCGGAGATGATCCAAGATATTTTGAGCCAGAAAAACAGCAACCAACAGTTGTTGGGTACCCTCTGGTGAACTAACATAGCTATGGAAAATCACCATTTTTAATAGGTAAATCCACTAATAATGGTCATTTTCAATAGCTATGTTAAATTACCAGAGGGTACAGTTTGCTTAAATGTCCGTGCATGATATTTGTGTATGTGAGGTTCTGTTTCAAGGGAAAGGCGGAAAAGAATAGAACAGACACCTTTGCAGCAATTTTTTCGATGGGGTCTGAAGGCAATTTTGCAGGGTATTCCATGTTCAATCCATGTTCATTGCTAGTCGTTCGTAAAAGGTTCATTGCCATTCATCTATCGGCAGCTGGGGTTAGGTTCACTGGATCATCTCCAATTGAGTTTTTTTCTACGTCATCTCCAGTGATCGCCCCATCGGAAACTTTCAATTTTCAAAGCGCTGACTTTTTTTGTGCAGAACGATGATCTCATGATATGCTGAGAATATGAAGACCTCAGCTTGATGCCAATGTGGGTATGAAAATGGTTAGAAACCCCAAGTCTGGGCCATGTTCATTGGACTTCAAGAGGTTCGAATTGTCTTTGGACCAAAACCACTCTCACAATGACTTGGCTGCCAGGACGTGTTGAAACCTCATTTGGTGGCCTGGAAAGTACAGGGAAACTGGGTGTTTTTTGGGTCCCACTCGGGTGCTAAAAAACATTGGGTAGCAATGGGCCCACGAAATGGGATCATTTTGACCAAGTCGTCCTCTGAGTAAATTCATCCTCCGTTTTCCTGGTTGGACAATGGACAGGACACATTTTGAGGTCCATCAAAAGCCCATCTCAGGTGGTGGATATTACGCAGGACAAGAACGGCTGCGGTGGATGCACGGCGAAAGCCATGAATTCCGACGAGGATGGACAGTCCATGTGGAAGACGCTGGACAGTAGCGCCTGGTGGCTGCGTGCTTCAAAATACGGAGAACCCAATGGACACTTCGACTGATGCCATGGTGGGCTTTGATGAGGGGTATCGTGTGGGAATCTATGAGTTTGCTTACTGAGAATGGGTCATCATGGATAATTGACCTATTAAAGATGGTTTTCCAATGTTTTCCAGAGCTATTGTTGAATTACCAGGTACTGTACCCCAAAGTCGTTTTTTGGCATATCCCATTCGGATGAAGAAAAACTTACCCATCGCCACATGGTGCCGTCAAGTTACTGTAGTTTGATTTGAGCAGCTGATTAGCGCCTCAAGTGTAGGATGATCATTCATTGTCACAAGGCTTCAAGGGTTAGTAACTGTTAGTAACCCATTGTGTTTCGAATTCCCAATTTTACAGAACTAGATTCTGGATATTCTGGAAGAATCTACAGGAAACACCTCTAATTAGATATATAATTACCGGTAGAAAACAAGGTTTCCTGGATTCCTGATTTTCCCGAACGAATCCGTGGATATCCTATTCAGTCGACTGGTGGGGTGCCCGTAGCCAATCGTAGACCATGACCCACCTGGCTGCCAGTCCTCTGTGAGGGATTTTCCCTGCGAAATCCACCATTTGTGGTTAAAGATGTGTACCCGGCCTGGTAAACGTTTACATAACCATGGGAAATCACCATTTTTGATGGGTAAATCAACTATAAATGGCCATTTTCAATAGCTATGTTAAATTAGCAGAGGGTATATCTTTATGGCTTTATGGGCATCTTAAGCGAATCCAGAAGAATCAGCCTTAATCAATCATGACATTGCGGGCACATGCGGGCACCCTATCCTCAAAGAAAAACAACATTAAACCCAAAGGCTGCAGAACTGTTTTTAGACGGGGCCCTGCAAGATGGTTTGGTGGTATGGAACCCATCAAAAGCGTGAGATGTCGGAGCTGAAACTTCCGGCCCACGGATGCCGCTCTCATTGTCGAAGATACTTTTATATCAGTGCTTGTTAGGCTCAGATGTGTTTATGTGCTTTACATACGTATTCTTATCATATATAAAAGTATATATATAATATATTATTACATACAAATATATACAATATAATATTATATATAGATCTTTGTTTCTTATCCCACTGTTACATGCAGATGGGGATCATCTGATCCCATTTTGCGATGGTGAAACAAACACCCCGTATGTTTCTTCGAATTTTAGGGCAACTCGCAACGTTGACCCAGTCGAAATAGTGGATTTTCCCAGCTAGAAAATGGTGGATCTTTCCATAGTTATGTAAACGTTTACCAGAGGGTAACACCCATTTTTGCTGGTTTTGTGCAGGGCTCTTTTTGGAAAATCCTGCCAAGGAGATTACATCGCGAACTGTTTCCTGGGTTTGAATCCGCCGACTGATGCCAACGCCATTGCATTCAACGATTGGAATTGCGGCTACCACACCCATTCATATTTGTGCCAACCAGATGATCGCTACACAACCACCACCACTAAAGCAGAAAAGTCCATGGCCACAGTTTTCGGCCCAGGAGTCGTTTTGCTTGGTCTACTGGGATTGCTGTAAGACCAATGTCCATATTGCCACGTTGGTACCTAAAAAGGTAGCAACGTCTCCATATGTCGCAGAGTCACATCGGCGCAGAAAAGTCCCACTGAGATCAGCCCAGATCAGCGACTGGAAGACCCACCACATTTTGACGATCGTTGACCTTCCCATTCCGATCAGCGTTTTGTGGATTTCTTGAGTTTCCTCCGTTAATCCAGACATGCTTTGGACAACATGTTCTTAGTATTTCTTAACATCATTTGCTGCCTCCAACTTTGTTGGCTTCCCATTTTACTTGCTTCCGTTCTAGTACTTTTTGTGGGGTCAGCTGCAAGACATCACTGATCAACGATCAGAGGGTCTATGGCACTATGGCGCTATGGGTCAACATCGGAGACCCCCAAATGGGGAACCAATGACTGGACCATACTGGATCCATGAACGGAGCGAAGCGAAGTTGATCCGTAAGACTTACGCCAACTTGGAAAAATATATGAAAAATGGACGTGAAAAGAAAAAAGAAGCGATCCCCCCTGGTTCACCCCGGTTCACAACTAGTTGATACTAGTTGCACACCACCCTGGTGAAAGGTAGGGGATGGGTTTTGGGGGATTTCACCAGCACCCAGGAGGGCGATTGGAAAGGCACCTTGGACAAGCTCATCGGGTACTGGACCTACCTCAAGGCTGGGCCTTTTTTAGGTTGATCCATGAGTGTCAAGCCGACCTATCTTAACAAACACTGATTTGTTGAAGCAAAGAGGGCTGAAAAACCGCCTGTCACAACTTGACAACACCTTTTTTCAGAAGCATTCTGGGTAAATGATGGCATTTAGTATGTAAAATGGCATATCAAACTGACCCTGAATCATTGCTCTCGTTTGATGACATAATGAATACATGCCGAGTGTGTCGTTGAAGAAATTGCCATGGGGAAACTGTTGAGTTTCCCAGAGTCTATTGCCAGAAGGTTGACCAAGCTTGGTGGTTTGGAACCGTGGAATTTCATGACTTACCCATCATATTAATCATCTGGAACATTTGGATTATGACTTTCCCATCATATTGGGAATGTATTTATATGTATTTATCCCAACTGACTAACATATATTTTTCAGAGGGGTGGCTCAACCACCAACCAGTATATTTATTTGACAGGAATTTAATCTCTCCCATAATGATGGATCCCTGCCAGTGTTGAGCGAGATGGAGAACCCCACTTGACCCTGAAGTGGTTTTTGTTGATTGCCATGTCAGATGGCCAGAGGGTAATGTGGTAAACCCAAACCATCCAAACCATCCCACCCATCACTAGTGTTACTAGAATTTACTAGATTACTAGGCTTAAAAGCTGTTCCCAAATTGAAAATTCATGGCAATGGGTCTACCACACACCCCGGATGATATATCCCATACCATATCCCGGAAAGTTTCCACCACCACGACTTTGTTGCACAAAACTCCCCCATGCTGTCCACGTCCTTCATTGAGGTTTAATATTGTTTTTCCAACAGTTTTATCCTTCATGAAATATCCCATTTTTTATCATGAACATCATTAATCACATGAAAAATAGTATCTCCATGAAACAAATTCCCCTAATTTTCAGATGATGTCAGGGGCCCCTTGATTTATTGGGCCCATAAAAAAAACGCCCATGGCGCCAGACCATCAAAGATGATGATGTCATCGTTTTCCTGGACGCCTTTGATGTCTTCCCCAATGGCCTGGATGGCCATGTTTCTTGGCTCCGATGATGGGGAGCGGGTAGGTGGGGCAACGAGGCAAACAGAAATGATGGATGGTGAATTTCTATGATGAACTACTTTAATAGATTATATTTATAGATTATTTATAGATTATGAATAGATTATGCTTATCATAGTATATTTGATATTCTGGAAATGCATTGTATTGTAGATTGACAGGTATATGAATATGTAGTTTTTTGTTTATATATATAAAGATTAGCTACATGGGATGATGTAATCCACTACAAAGCTGGAAGTGATCTTGTTTGCAGGGTTTCTACGATTCGCCATGTCTTGGGAAACCAAGCATGGGCGCCGCCAATATTTTTTTTCGGGGATTCGCTGGTAGCAGCGGATCGGACCATGGGGTTCCAAATCCACTGAACAATTCGCCATGTATTTTTGGAGAGACACACAAATTTGAGACACACAAATTTGGGTCATGCCGCAACAACATTGATGAAATGCAGTGAGAAACATATAGAAAAATCGGGTCTTGGGCCGAATGCCATTTTCAAAGCCAATTTGTCATACTGATTTTTCTATCTGTTCCAATGCCCTGCATTCCAGGAAAAGCATTTCCCATCCTGTGTTTTGTTGGCTGGTCAATGACATTTGTTTGATCCATTCCCACCTACTGGGTCATTGCGTTGACTCGCTTGGCTTGTCTAAAGTTAAAGTCGTCCGGAATTCATGTGCCCGTTGTGTTTTGGATGTTTCCTGTATGACTTTTATTTCAGGAGTTGTTGGGAGTGATTGTGTTTTTACGTATGCCCCATGCCTTTGGGAAGATGTTGGTATGTGCAAGTCTGATTTTAAGATTTACGTGATAGGGGTGGACATTCTTGGCATTCATTGTCGACAACATCAGAACATGTCAGAACCAATACATCGCGCGAGGCTTCCGCAGGGCGTTAAAATTCACCCATAGATTTACCTCATGCGGTTGTGCAGTGTATGATCCTGTGAAAACCCTCGCTGTGTCATTGTATTCTCCTGTGCAAACGCACTGTGCCATTGGGTCCAACATTTAGCTGTAGGGATGTACACTTTGTATCCTACGTTGTGCCATTGCATTCTCCTGTTCGAATCTCCCAAAGTATATATACACTATTGAGATTTACTACAGTGTGCGCAAAGAATCCGGTAAATTCAACATCTTCCGAAATGTCCCTGCGAAATGTGTGCTGATGGTGTTTTGACATGTTCTATACATTTTCTGGTTGACTTGTCGCGGGATGCCTGACTTCACGCGTCTGAGCTGTGCATATGGGATGTTTGACTTTAGACGGGCATACCTTACTCAACACCCCAACCTAGTACAAGTCTTGGTCAAAAACCTGGTCCTTAACTTATAGATGGTCTTTAAATGGTAATTTCCATTGGTCTATGGTGATTCCATTTTGTCTCTACATTCTGATTATTCATGGAATGACCCTTAAAAATCATAGCATCATTGTTCATGGAACCGTGGCAATCAATGTTTAAATCATCCTTAAGTCATGGATTTTCGCCATGGATTTTCAGTATTGAAACACCTTTTGTGCCATATGGTGCCATGGGGATCCCCCAGTTTCAATCGCAGAACCGTCGTCGTTTCGCTGAGGAACTTCTGAGGAGGTTCTTCTCCTTTGGCACCCCAGTGGTGATCGCCTCAGAGGAGCCAAAGAGAAAGCTCGATTTCTTAAGTTGAGTTGTTGCCTTAAGTCAAAATAGAATGGGGGTTTTATACGGTTTTATATACAAACAATACCTGGGGTCATTTTTGAAAAAGGAACATGATTGGATGTGGCCTCCATCCAGCATAGACCCTACACTTCATAGGGGTTGGAAGAGGAACATGTACCCCAGCTGCGAGTGGTAAATAATAGTAACAATGATATAATAACGATAATGATGATAGTTTTTTTTTAAAGATTTCTGCCCTTTGACCGACTACATGAATATGAGGATTTCTTACCAACAACGGGGATGTTAGACCAATAATCATGATACGGGAATGTTGGGATCCAATGGGATATGATGGTCTGTCTGACCATGGAGAATGAGGAAATGAGGTCCTGAATGGAAGTTGTTGCGTGATTCTTTTTTTGCGTGAAGCCCCACAAAAACACAGGATAATTCATATTTATAATTATACATACAGACACAGATAGACATGGGTTCCCTCCCTACAATGACCAAACAGTTCAGGTTTGTTTTTGTCCTGAATGATTCATTTGATGTATGGGGATTGATGGTGATGAAGACATCCGAAATCAGGCTTGCTTGTCTGCTTGGTTACAGTATTTGTGATCTTCATTATGAAAACATGGTTAGTGAGTATGAATGATTGCTACCCTCTGGGATTTTCAGATAGCTATTTTAAAAAAAGTCCATAACTATTTAATCTCTAAATCATCTAAAACTGGGCCAGAGCTATAGCAAATTACTGGAGGGTAACTATTTGTATCGACAACACCTGTGACAGATCCCGAGAGATTTCGGCATTTTACTGTCCAGGATCCTCTCATTTAGGAGCCATGGCATTGGTGTCTCAAGTGTAAAATTGAGGACAAAAGGGTTGCAACTGAAATACAAAATGGAAGTTGGCCATTTTCACTGAAGACACCAATGTATTATCACTGACTTCCATGATGTATTTCCCATTTTGAGTCAGCACAATTACTACCAACATCTACCAACTTTTTTTTCAAGCCAGCAAAAGGAGCATAATTTCAACCAAGAAAAATGGGATGACCGCACCAAGCCATCAGAAACCCGATTTTCGCAATCTCCAAGAAGGCGATTCCGCCTGAAAGGCACCGTTGTTTTGACGCCTTTCCAAAACATATTCACTTCAAGCCTAAAGTCATCAGAAAAGAAATGACAACAACATCCAGATCCATTCGTTTGGGATTCCACTTAAACATTGAAGGATTTCACGGTGTGACACGGAAAGCTTCTTGGATTCAAGTCCGAAGCCTCCACAGGAGGCGGAAAATCTCTGACTGATCAAAAGCTGATATTAATCTGATATTTTGTTGGTGGTTTCAAACATGGCTTTTATTTTCCATATATGAGATGTCATCCTTCCCATTGACGAACTCATATTTTTCAGAGGGGTTAAAACCACCAACCAGTGATATTTTGATGAATGAAAACCCATGAAGTACCTCAAACGAACGGAAGATTTGCAGATTGACATGGGGCAGAACGTGGATCCCTTTTTCAGGGCGTCAATTTGATGGTTCCAGTGGGAAGAACTCCCGAATTGCGGAAGACATTCATCGTCTTTGTCGGGGAGATATCCGGGATGTTGAACCTTCCCTTCACAATGATGGTACCAAGGTATGCCTTGGTGATTTAACATGGACGATCACCATATATCACCATTAAACTATATATTTATATACATTTATATATTGGTAGGACCAGTGGCTGCTAAACATCCCTACAAAAAGCGGTGCTAGGAGGGTGGCCGGGGAGGGTGGCAGGGAGGGTGGCGGGGTTCACCAATTATTGGTGCAACTTTGGGCGCGCAAAAATTATCTTTCCTTAAGTTTTTTGATGTGTGACGCCCGCACCAATATTTTGTTTACGTTTTCATGTGTTTTTTTCAGCCTCCGCACGGTTTGCCTGCCCGTCACTGTGTCTTGAACACTTTCCTTCAGAAATGCAAAATTTGCAACATGGGTTTGAAGCAGGAGAATCCGAGCGTCAAGGATATGCTTTGGTCCCGGAGAAGCCGTTGATAATTCTTAATGCAGTCCCAACTTGGACAAAATTAAAGAAAACAACTTTACAGTGACGGGTTTTGATTATGCAATTAAAGATGCTGGCCACAAATCAAACATGTCTGCCCGATTGCTGGTGAAATTTTCTTCGCATCATTGAACCCCAAGTGCAGCAACTTCAGCGTACTCTCTCCTTCAAATTATTCGTGCCAAAACCCGTTTCCGGGAAACGGAGACACACGAAATAGTTTGGGTTCTAGATACTTTTCTCGTCAGTGGAATTGCTTAAAGGGTACAATTAAACTACTATACAAATGCGGCTAAACAAAATGGAAATGCAGGCAAGCAACTATAAAGAAAATAAGCTTCGGTGGTATCCCCAACAGCCGCAACGTTTTATTTTTACAAATCTTTCTGAAGCGTGCTGCGAAACCAAGCGCTGGAAACCCTTTGAACCTGTTGGAACCTGACCTGGCCCTGCACCAAAGATTCCCCAAACCTTCTCCGGGACCTTCTCTGCAACCTGCTCCGGGACCCGTTGAACCTGACCTGGCTCTGCACCAAAGCCTCCCGGAACCTTCTCCGGAACATTCTCCGGAACCTTGTTGAACCTAACCTGGCTCTGCACCAAAGCCTCCCACACCTTCTCCGGAACCTTCTCCGGAACCCTGTTGCAAGTGACCTGGCTCTGCACCAAAGCCTCCCAGACCTTCTCCGGAACCTTCTCCGAAACCCTGTTGAACTGATCTGGCCCTGCACAAAAGATTCCCAAAACCTTCTCCGGGACCTTCTCAGCAACCTTCTCCGGGACCCGTTGAACCTGACTTGGCTTTGCACCAAGGCTTCCCAAGAGCTTCTCCGGAACCCTGTTGAACCTGACCTGGCGCCTCCCAGACCTTCTCCGGAACCTTCTCCGGAACCCTGTTGAACCTGTTGACTTGGCTTTGCACCCGGGCTTCCTGGAACCTTCTCTGGAATTTCCGGAACCCTGTTGAACCTGACCTGTCTCTGCACCAAATCCTAGACCTTCTCGGGAACCTTCGGAACCTTCTCCGGAACCTCGTTGAACTTGACCCGGTGCCTGCACCAGTGCACCGGAGCTATTCTGGGCTGAAGACCCCGTCAGCTTACGCTGTTGGGGACAAACTGCGGACCTTTGCGCTGATCCATGTTGGACAAAATCTGTGGAAGTTCAAGATACTCGGTCATGGAAAATCGATTGAGAATAAAGAAAATCAGTAAAAACCATCGAATAACCTATAAAACCATATATACATGGAAAACTCCATAAAAAGTTCGAAATCAATGAAAACCATCAAAAAATCAATGAAAACCATCGATTCTTGCTGAAAACCAAGAGAAATCCATGAAAACGATCAAGAAATCGAGAAAAAACAAGGAAAAATCGAGTTTGACATGGAAAATTGGTCCGAGCCAGCTTGACTGCTTCCAAACATTGGAGATCCGCGCTGATCCGCGCTGATCCGCGTTGATCCGCGCTGATCCGCGCTGATCCGCGCTGATCCGTGCTGAACTGCGCTGATCTAGAGCAAGAGTACGCAAGAATTTAGTGCGGCGCACCGCGGATCAGCGCGGATCAGCGCCGACCAGCGCGCACCAGCGCGGACCAGCGTGGATCAGCGCAGATCAGCGCGGATCAGCGCGGGCCAGCGCGGGCCAGCGCGGATCAGCGCGGATCAGCGCGGATCAGCGCGGATCAGCGCGGATCAGCGCGGAGCGCGGATCAGCACGGATCAGCACGGATCAGCGTGGATCAGCACGGACCAGCACGGATCAGCGCGGATCAGCACGGATCAGCGCGGATCAGCGCGGATCAGCGCGGATCAGCGCGGATCAGCGCGAATCAGCGCGGACCAGCGCGGACCAGCACGGATCAGCGCGGATCAGCACGGATCAGCGTGGATCAGCGCGGACCAGCGCGGACTAGCGCGGACCAGCGCGGACCAGCGCGGATCAGCGCGGACCAGCGCGGATCAGCACGGACCAGCGCGGACCAGCGCTGGCCAGTGCGGATCAGCGCGCAGATCAGCGCGGACCAGCGCGGACCAGCGCAGACCAGCGTGGATCAGCGCGGATCAGCGCGGATTAGCGCGGATCAGCGTGGATCAGCGCGACTCTGCGCGGTCCAGCGCGGCCCAGCGCGGATCAGCGCGGAGCGGATCAGCGATTAATAAGCGCGGATCAGTGCGGATCAGCGCCGATCAGCACGGATCAGCGCGGATCAACACCCATCAGTGGGCATTAGTTCGGAGATCTTCCATAGAAGCCCAGGGCAAGTGAGATGTGAACATGGAATAGCACCAAGCATGGTGAGTATTATTGTGCTATTTTTTAAAAAAATGTCAAGGAACAAAGTTTTTCCTTGACGCCGATGGGTGCTACATCTCATGCGCCGTCGGCTTGATGTCTTGCTCCTCTTTTCTGCCACCCGTCCTGCCCCTTAAAATACCTCAAATCAATAGCTTGGTGCCCTCCTAATACCCTCTTCAGCCACCTGTCAGGCACCAAAAATCAATAGTTTTCATCCCCCCTCATCCCTGTTCCGCCACCCTTCCTGCACCACAAATCAATAGCCTTAATGTCCTGCCACCCTGTTCCGCCACACTTCCTGCACCACAAATCAATAGCCTTAATGTCCTGCCACCCTGTTCCGCCACCCTTCCTGCACCACAAATCAATAGCCTTAATGTCCTGCCACCCTGTTCCGCCACCCCTCCTGCACCACAAATCAATAGCCTTAATGTCCTGCCACCCTGTTCCGCCACCCTTCCTGCACCACAAATCAATAGCCTTAATGTCCTGCCACCCTGTTCCGCCACCCTTCCTGCACCACAAATCAGTAGCCTTAATGTCCTGCCACCCTGTTCCGCCACCTTTCCTGCACCACAAATCATAGGTTTTGGTATCGGTTTGCTCTTCCGGATGCTTAGCAGGCAGTGGGTCTCTCAATTTATATATATATATAAGATTATAAACTGGGCCACGGCTTCCTAGCTATGTTGAATTACTGGACAATAAACTGGATAAACCATGAAAAAAAAACATGGTTTCCAACGGCGCTTAAAACTGTCGACCCGGGTGCCGTGACCAGCGAAACGGCAGGAGAACATTTTTCCACGCGAAGTCGCCGAGTGCGCAGACTGCACGGGAGTGGTTTTTGGGTACCACATCCAACCAAGGTTAAAAGAACTTGAGATATATGATGATATATGTATTAGTGCCCACAAAAGGTGCTTCGACCGAATCGCAGGTAGAGTTGCTGGAAGGATCGAAGTCTGTGTTCAGTTTTCTATTGGAGTTGTTTCAAAAAGAACTTTGCAACTCAAAAAAATACCGAAGCAATTTAATGTCATGTAATGTGGTATCCTCTTTATTAAATTAACATAGATTAACATGCTGGTAGCTGCCTGGTAGCTATGGATGAACATGGCCCCTCCACGGATTCGATTTACCTCTTAAAAAAACACGGTGATTTACCGATGATTATCATCACCCTCTGGGTACCAATAATAGGTTTTTTCCGATTGGTCAGTGACCATCCATAGCGGCCTAACTTCGCTAACCACTAAAATGATCATTTTCTAGTATCATAATTTAGGATCATGATATAATTAAAAATCATGAGATTTTTTTTTTAATCGCCCACAGTAGGATTCTGAATGGGAAGTTCATGGGATTTTTCATGCCTTGACCTGGACCAGAATGATCAGAATGGTGACCAGGCAGGCGAATATCGCGGTGGAGCAGATGCAAGCCGTTGGCTTGGGGAATGTGTGGTCCTCAGGTGGCAAGCTGTTTAGAGTGGTAAATAGATCCCTGTTTGAATTTCCACTAGAAAGGGTGAACTTGTGCTTGCCTTAAAACGGTTGGCATAGGGGTGTTTTAATATAGAAAAGTGTTCTCGTGCTCGGCTTTTTATAGGGGATCCCTGTGAAACAATTCTATAGTGAGCATACGCCACCTATATAAGAGTTATGCCAACAATTCTATAGTGTGCCTACCCACCTATATGAGGGTTGTGCTAACAATTCTATAGGCTCTACATTTTATAGTGGAAGTATTACAGAAAAAAGCTGGTTGTTGTGCTACTGCATTTTGTACTGCCTGTCCTGTTGTCCTATGGGAGTACTTGTGTTCCACCTGTGCTCGGATGTTGAAATTATGTTGGCTATTTTAACATAGTCGTGCACCTCGTTTTAAAGCGGTCTTATGTAGTCAGAAACTCGGACACCTCAAAGTCTAATGATTCTTCATTGTCCCACATTTTCCCATATGTAGTCATTGAAAAAGGCCATTGTTGAAGCTCTATATTCAGTATATACATAACCATTATTTCATGATTCCCCATTTTGGGATGGATGATCAACATCACCTGCACCTTCACTAGAGATTGCTCATTATTGTTGGATGACGTGTAAATATGTTTAAAGTCAATCTGGACATGGCTGCCATCAACTGGTCGGTATCATATGTATCATGGTCGTTCCCCATTTCTGATAAGCTACTCCATGCCCTTAGCCTTCGGCTGGTAGCGGCCACCCAAGGCTTCAGCGCCATCTAGATATCTCAATGCTGGAGGGATCATTGGAATGGGATGGGTCCGAAGTCCCTGCAGGGTGGGGATTGCGATCCCCAAATTTTGGGTTGATGGGATGGTTTATTATGGGCTTTGCCACATTATATATGGTTATATAGACCATGATATAGATGGTTATATATGTACCATACATTATATATGGTTATATATGCCCATAATTATGATATAGATGTAACATTGTAACATGTTATAAATGCCTTGGGTTTTGTTGGCGTCCATGAAGAGCCATTCGGCTTGGGCATACCACAATCATCCACATCCCGTGGCTTGAAGAAGATGGAGCTTTCTTCAACCTCCGATCCATTATAGTTGGATCTGCAATAAACCAATCCCCAAGTACTGTATCAACCATATCAGGCTATATCAGGCGACTATAAACAATAAGTAACCACACACTGGCAATGATTCATTGTTTCTTGTGTGGGTCCCGGCTTGCACATTTAGTTCTTGTTTCAGAGGCTCTCATGTCGCGCATCAGTAGGATTACCAACTAATTTTCTTTCAGAAGCCAGAGCCAAATCATATTGGCGAGGATGGCACAACTAGCTATGGCACTGACAAGGACAGATGGGCATAGAATAAGTAGGAAGGAGTGCTTTTAAGCACAAACAGCAATGAACATGCCGCCAAGAAACGTGGGGATACTACAATATGCTAAAGTTACTAGAGCACAACAAGCACAACAAGAACATCACAAATATCAGAGTTGCATAGGGTTGTACCCTATGATGGTTGTATCAGTTGTATCCCACTGTTGTCAATCTCCCAGAGTTGCTTTAAGGGGAAATTTGCGGGCACCCCCTATATTTGGAGGTAAATACAGTACACACCATAGTTTCCCTTAGATTTCTCTTAAACCACTCAATTGACAACTGTGATGCTTGTCTTCTCCAGTTGGTTTTGTAGAACCCCGGGAGGCTCTGCGGAAGATGTATGACGATGTGCGACGCTCGCAGCAAATTGAGCAGAATAACTGTCAAAGAGTTGATTCAAGGTCCTTGATATATCTTCATATGGAAGTTTCCATAGTCATGGGAGTAACCCAATAGCTGGATGGTTTATTTCATGGAACATCCGAAAATAACATGGATGATAACTGGGGGTACCCCTATTTTAGGACACCTCCATATACTGGGGATTATCGTAATCCGTAATTCCTACTTTGATTCTGGATTTTTTGGGCGAAGTATCCAGGATCTTCCATAGTTGGATCTAGTTGGGTGAAACCAAGTCGAAGTGAGTTTGGTTCTGACCAAGTCAAAGAAATGAATCCCATTACTGTCCCAGCTAGAAATCTCTGTGACACAGCCTACATCCCACCAACGCGGCGAAGCTACTAGTGGTTCGTACAGACTGTTGCCCTGGATCAGATGCACCGGAACCTAAGGAGAGAATATGGCCGCCAACAATCCGCACATGCTCATGGCGTCCCTTGGGAAGCAACATAGGATGTGTGTGGAGAACGGTGTGAAAGCCTTGTTTAAATGTGCCCTGAAATTTGGAGATGGATCAGATATGGACATATGGATGAAGATCCAATTTTGCAGCTCTTTTCCTGTGAAGACCACAGTTTCACCCCGTGTTTTGACCCATCTCCAGGCATGCGGACATTGTGGGGCATTGGTTCTTGCACTCCTACGATCAGTTCGGCAGCACAGTCGACAGACGACGAGAATCTGCGAACCAGAGATGGGAAAATCGATGGGAAAAGGTCGGCCCCATTTTCAGGGAGAATCTAGAATCTAGAGGATCATTTGGTAATTTGGTCATCCATTTTTTCTTCAAGGCATAGACATTTGCTTCGCTTTGTAAGGTCCGAAAGTGGTAACATCACTTGCAAAACCGGCCGAAACAATTAGCTGTCAACGAGAACATTTTACCATATACCTGTGATTTTCTATCAGCGGATGGCAGAAATCCTGCACCAGTTGATAGGTGGTTTATCCCATATATCCCATTATTCAACTTACCTAACAACACTAACAACACTAACAACACTCAATAGTTTGCCGCCACACTTGTAGCTTCAATACTCACAAGAGATTTTTGGGTCTGCCACGATCATCCCATGTCGAAGAAAAGGTACGAACTCTGGCGCTATTTCATCCGTCCGGAGCCGAGTGGTCTCTGGAGCGATAGAGAATCTTCCCATGTGCGGAACAAAAACACGGGAGAAACATGGTGAAATCATGTGAAATCATGTGAAATCCTATTGCTATGTTTGAGTACAGGTCTCAAGTTCCTCCCTCATCATCAGTTTATATCAGTTTGGTCTGCTCTTGTGCTACGTCTAGCATAGAATGTGCTATGGATTGCTATGGCATACTATGGATGTTGAGATTTTCAAGCGACGGAGATGTTCGAACTTTGTGCAAACACTTAAAGTTGGTTTCCCCGAATGGTTTTCAGTCATTTTTTAAGGGGTTTGAAGCTTTATAGCTGAGAAAATCTTCGAACTAAATGGGGGATGTTCCAGCACGCCATGTTTGACTACAGGGGGATAGTTTAACAGTCTGCTATGGAAAATGGACGAACATGGCCCATTTAGTTTGATGATTTATGATGAACTATGAATCTATGATGTCTATGATGATTTACCTATTACACATATTGAACAAATATGCTGGTTTCCCATATCGATGTTAGATTACCAGAGGGTAGGATTATAAATCATCAGGAATCATCAGGAATCACCATAATTCACCATCTTTTTTTCCCGGGACCCAAAAGAAATTTCTCTAAAAATGATCACTGGATGTACAGACCATTGGAGACCTGTGATTCTCCCGCGATTTTCTTTTCTTCGGGGCCATGCGTTGGAAATCGGCAGTGCCATGGTCCCTTTGTGGATTCATGAGATCCGATGATCCCTGTAGAATCCCGGTGAAAACCATCCTGAATGATGCCCAAAAGGCTAGTCTTGGTGGTTGAATCCAAGTTTTTACGTGATGTGAACCTTCCATATTTTAGCTGTCTAAATCCACCATATGGCTTGGTTGAAGCCACATTTTTTACGCCACATTCATTGTATGATTCATATTCAATCCGATTTTTCGAGAGCTAGACTCGAATCATTTCGATCTTTTTTTATTCTAATTGACATCATGGAGTTTTTTGATGATTGATGTTGATTGGTTATAAAAGAAATCAGGTTGTGAAGCATATAACTATGAAGCGTCCATAATTCAGATTTCAATATATTTCAATATATTTCAATGAACCAGGTACATAATCAATCAGTTTATAACATGTTACCCTCTGGTAAACTAACATAGCTATTGAAAATGGCCATTTATAGTTGATTTTCCCATTAAAAATGGTGATTTTCCATAGTTATGTTAGTTTACCAGAGGGTAACATGTTAAAATGTTATGAAAGGTGATGGTTTCTTGAGGACTAACTCCTCCTAACTCCAGGCCACGTCCGCGGAGTGGAAGAGGCCGGCGAAGAGAAGATGGTGGTCGCGACCTCGAATCTCTCCTTTTTCGGACGCCTGTTGAAGAAAAAGCAAGACATGTCCATCATGGATCATCATGGAACAATGGAACCCAGGAATGATGTTAAACTGTTAGACCTAAATCCATCTGGGGATGGGTCAAAACCTTGTACCCCTGTAGTTCAAATCAAAATAGCTGGGATTTATGGATGTTCATCCCACTAAAAATGGTATTAATAGGTATTGATCCATACCCAAATGTCCATCATGGATCATCAATGGAACCCATTGGAACCCAGGAATGATGTTAAACTGTTAGACCATGTTAGACCTAAATCCATCTAATTTTAGTTCCATGATTTTCAGGGAATGATGAGAACTGAACATGATGGAACTGAAATGAGTGATCATATCGCATCAAAGCTGGGGGCTTTTGTGGCAAAACGTTTAAAACACATGGAGAACTTTGATAGAACCACAAGAATAATTCAGATAAGAAGAGATTAAATTAGTGAATAGTGGTATATTCCATGTCAATTTATGCCCGGTTAAGCTTTCAGACATTCCGCATCTGCCGCATTTGGTTGTAGTTGTTCCTGATTTCACATGGTGGGCCTTGAGTCATGCTGGGTATGGCATCCCCATCGGAATTGTGCATATGGCTATGGAATGCTATGGATCCATACCGTTTGAACCATGATTTTTTCTGGGGATGAACATTGCCCTAAATACTAGCGTTTTTTTGATGTTCGCCAAGGGTGCAGGGTTTCAACTCATCGCCTTTTTTTCCAAATTTCCTGATGTTCTTGACTTCTTAAGTATGCTTGTTGCATCCGTTCTTACGGTTGTAAACTCCGACAAAATCATCGAAGCCAGGCCATGCTCCTCTCTACCCCCAAAGAGCCCACAAACAGAACACCCGTCATTTTGCCATGAGACTGGCCATAAATTAAGGGGGTATGCCGGTATCCATCATTTCAAGAGAAAACCATATAAGTCATGACTCCAGCCGAATTCTAGGCCTTGGATACAGAACAACTGATCTTTGGATCCACTGCACCTGGTCGGAATTGTACTGGGGCGGGTGGGGTATCAGGATCCAAAAGTTTCACGGGTGTAATGGGATGGAATGGGTCCTTCCATGTTCTTCCCTTTTTGGCCTAAATTCAGAATGGCTCAAAGTATACATGAACAAAGCGGGTGAGGCTCTACTCCGCTATTGGTGGAATAAATTCTTGGGTGTGAGCATTCTAATTTCTTTTGAGGGGCTTGCAAGGGAGGTTACATCTACCGCTCTGTTTGGGAATGACCCTGGGGAGTTGGTTCACCCCAAATGTCAGCACATCTGGAGGTTAAAGACCCAGTTTTGCTGTGGAATTTTGGTGGTGTTTTGACGCGCACATGACCCCCATATGTTGGGTGTAGCTGGGAGGAGAGTGGAGATGATGAAGCTGATGAAGATGATCATTATGAAGATCCCAACGCAACAATATATACTGTACATTACTGTACATATATATATATATAATCATATAATATCATATATACATATATATATCATGTATATATATATATATCATATATATATATCATATATATATATCATATATATATATATATCATATATATATATATATCATATATATATATATATATCATATATATATATATATCATATATATCATATATATATATGTACAATATAATCTACTGTACTCAATCAGCCTGCAAATGCTTTTCGCAGTGAGGTCTTTCAAAAGGAGAACTGGCTGGGAGCCGAGGTTTTTTTCCGGATGAGTCTGGTCCATTGGGGCCACCCCAAAAAAGGCGGTCCCAAAGTTTGGAACCATGCCCAAGCTATAAAATGCTCTATTATATATATATAAGCATTCTCTGGTTGATGTTAATACTTGACCAGACCGTTTTTTTTTGTTCGTTGGTTCCTCCCACCTCTATGACAGGAACTGAGAATTGAACCTTCTTATATGGAACATCATCTGCGGAACCAAGGGCAAGACCGAAACATCATTTCCGTTGTGGTTGCAGTGCAGTTTTTAGGTTTTCGTTCCTCTCTCTGGGATGATGACGACGACAACGACCAATCATCCAGGATTATGTGTGTGTGTGGGTCAAAACTCAAAACCTGAGTTTTTTTTTTCCAGAGCATCCTAACTGGTAGTTAGGATGCTCATTGCCCATGGTCCCATTGGTATTGATGCCCCTTTTTTTGAACCGGAAAATCGGACTGTATCAGGATATAAGAAGCAATTATTGGATACAACCAATGGTTGGTGACTAGAAGTAACGTCAACGGACCCACCAAATTATCCCCAAATGAAAACACACACACATATATATAATATATATATATAATATAATATATATAGATATAACAATTATCCCCAACGATCCGCAATTATCTGAATGATTTAGATCTGGACCGTGCACTTCAGCGAAGAACTTCATCGCGAAGCACGTGTCACATGATCCCATCCATTTTGAGCCTCTGGTCATCTAAGACAGCCATGGACAGCCTGGCTATGACAATAAGAGTTATGAATCATCGAGAATTCTATCCAATTGCTCTATGTTACTCTATGTTATTATGTTCATTCTATGACAATAAATGGCTATGACAATAGCTACGACAATTCTAGTCTATGTTACTATGTTCATTTAGCAGCGGGTATCGAAGAAATGATATCCAATTATCCTCCGGGAATCTAACGCCAACATGACCATGGAAAATGGCCCTGGAATGCCCTGGAAGTAATGGTAAATCATCTACACATAGCTCATCTTCTATGGCGTTGAATTGCCAGAGGGTAAGGCCATCGTCGAATGGTTGATATTGCAATAAATGAAAATACATGATTGATACCGATATTTCAATATCTCCCTAAGGTTAGTACTAATGATATCTCATTTATGATAGTGTTTTTTTGGGTGCCAACTTTTATCAGCCAACATCTTCACCATGAAATCAATCAGCCTTTTATCACTTCAAAAATGACCATGTCATGTGAAATCCCCATGGGAAAGACCGGTGGATCCCAGCATTGGAACCACCAAGGCCGGAGCTGCTGAATGACGCAGAGCCCGGGATTGCCACCAAGGAAGGGCTCCTTGGATCTCCTGAGATGGTCCAAAAGATTTGGGTCAAGACTGGTCATATATGCACATACAGTCTATTTATATCTTGTATCTCCACATATATATATACACAATGTATCACAATGTTTCATATGTGATATGTGATATATGATGTATGATGTGTGATATATATATATGTATATATACATATATATATATATGTATATATACATATATATATACATACACATATATATATAATATGATATATGATATATATAATTTTATATCTGTTATATCTATGGATCAACTTGTGTGGTTTAACGTGGTTCGTACAATTTGGAAGATCGGCCACATTTTGGACCATGAAGGGTGAGGGTGATTCCGGGCTTCTGATGATTTCGTTGTTTTTTCCTCCCCATCATTTTGGGTGAACAACTTGAGGACACAACCCCCAGGTTGGTGCATGAGGCTTTTCATTTTGTGATTTTTGGTGATCCTCGTTGCATCACATCAGCACCAAGCGCTCCAAGGAAAGGACATTCCATTGATGTGGATGCAGGGATGCCTGGTACCGTTGGATGTTTATGACTTGCGCATCAGCATTGACCAACAAAGCGATACGGTTAAAAGTTACAACAACCGATTCAAACCATGCAACTAAAGGCAGCTAAACCAACTTAAAAGCGGGATCTTACCAAGTAAAACCAGGTTTTAACCAAAACACACGTAAACCGAACTAACGGCCGGGGCCCGTGGCAACAGAAAATGGTCACCATTGGATTTCACGGGATGGGTGGATCCGCCGCAACCATCGATGGATTGCCCGTTTTGGTGACCAGGGTATCACCAAAAAGATCAATTGGGTCAGGGGGTATACGGCTATACAGTAGTTTGGGTACATATTACATATAAATATGGGGATGTGTTAAAACCAATTACTGTCATATTTGGGGGAATAAGCATCCAGTAACCAGCCAATCCGGGTGCTATCCGGATGCGGTTTTGACTCATGGCCATATAGTCACAGGCGCCAGACTGCCCATCTCTATACATTTCCGGCTCCCCACAAGAACCCGTGGCTTGAACGTCAGGGTAAACAAGGTAAAGTAAACAACACCTGGAGAAAGCAACGTTTGGATGGTGAAAATACCAAAACATATATAGAACTATTATCAAATATACTTCATTCGCATTGGGGCTTGTCTGAAAGTACCAATCCAGTGGTCTAGGATGATTTTCACTTCGTACCATTAGTTATAGCTATATATAATTACATCATAGATATAATTATATTTATATTATATATACACCATAATTACAATGAATTTCTCGATGATCTCAAACATAAAATCCCCACTATATTTCATACCTTCATTCTGTAATATTCATACATCATATTCCATTCCATATCCCCACTATATTCTCAAACATGTTTGTATTTTATAGAAAGTGGTCCATACAAAACAAATCTGGGCTAGACATGTATATACTTACCATTGAGCTGTTTTTTTTTGTCTAAGGGTTAAGTCCCATTTGACTTTTCCATTTCAATTTTTTTCTGTAACCAGCTGGTAAACTAACATAGCTATGGAAAACCACCATTTTCAATGGGTAAATCCACTATAAATGGCCATTTTCAATAGCTATGTTAGTTTACCAGAGGGTAACCAGCTGCCCATTCCATGACAGGTGCCCCTGGTCTTTGACGCACCGCAACGTGTCTTCGAGACCCACGGCTGCTGCTCGGCGAGTCTCCAATAGGGATCATCGGTGGGTAAGAGGGAAGGTCTGCGATAGGTCGAAAAATGGGCAACCCAATAGCTGGATGGTTTATTGGAAAATCCTCAGATATGGTTTATATATATACTGTATATATATACTGTATCTATATATATACTATATATATACTATATATATACTATATATATATATACTATATATATACTATATATATATATACTATATATATACACTGTATATATACACTGTATATATATATATACTGTATAAATACTGTATATATATTGCGAATAGGATGTAGGCTACGGCACAGTACATAATCCCACAAAGACATCCTACTATCGTCCATAACCAAAGGTGTGCATAAAATGCCCCTTTGGCTCAAGACTACTGCAGATTTCAAGAGCGAGAAACAACGCCATGCCGAAACTGCATTCATCGTGACGTCGTCGTTTTGGACATCAACCCCAAGACAAAGCAACAATACATAATCGGGGAGACAACCTCCGATTCACAGGTTATCAGCCGTAGGACTCCTACGGAGCCTACGAGCGGGTAGCCGCGGGCCTTACAGATGACTGAACAGGATAGCAGTGATAACGCATTTTCTTTCTCTGGACATGCCGTTGCACCAGCTGCCGGCACGCAGTCAAATTCTTCACAGAGTATCGACACTGGTGGAAGCGATGCCTCAGAATTGAGAACAAGCCAACCCAGGCGACAACTGGTTGCTCCTAGAGGGAGACAAATTTCGACAATGCAAGCAATTGAAGATAGGGACAGCACACCTGGAAAGAGAAGATCATCTGCACGACAATCGTCGCCTCCGATGACTCCAAGGACTAAGGCAAAGACTACGTCTTCGAATCCGCCTTCACCGATTCAAGACGCTACTCCATCAGGGACAGGATCTTATCAACAAGTGAACGCCCCGTCAAGTGGTAGCGACATCTTCACTGCCTATCAGAGTGAATTATCTGAATACAAGACATCACTGGAAAAGGCCACTGAAGAAGAATCTGTACTTCAGGCGCGACTGAGCGAGACGACAGCCTATGCCTATCAACAATTTAATTTCCTGGAAAGCACCACTCATCAAGAGATGATGTCGATGACCGAACAACTCCAGATGCTGAACTTCGAGTTACAGGCTGCGCAACAAGAAGATGAAGGTGCAACCTACAGGATCGAAGAGTTGGAAAGGTATCAGACTATGTCGAATGAAGCTGCATCTCATTTGGAATTCAAATATTCACGACTACGTTCGGAATTCGATGAACAAATGGGACAGGCAAATGCAATTATGGTACATGTGGGAACTGACGCGAATGCTCACATCAATCAACTCAGACTGGAACTGGAAAACGCAGAGATGAGTGCCAAGCAAGAAGCTCTAGCAGTCGGCTATGCTAATGACCAAACATGTGCTTTACAAATCGAGATGCTCGAGGTTGCCAATCAGAACCAGACCATGAAGCACACCATGGCCATGAACGTCAGACGACTGGAAACTGAGTTAGATGCTGCTGACATGAAGAGGGACGAGATCATGAAGGAATTCCGTAGTAACATAAGATCTGAACATGACCGTTATGCTGAATGTGAACATCACTTAGCTTTGGAAGAATCACAGCTTCGATTACAGGTGATCCACAGTGAGAACTTACAATCTCGACTAGCGATTTCTGAGAACAGGGTTTCTGAAGAATCTCTAGCTGAATCGGGCGGCATGCGGGACATGAGGTTAATGGGACTACGTTCTGAACTACACATGAAACAAAGTCTTTTAGATCGAATGCAACAACAACTGACTGAATCGAAGAATCAGTATCATGAACTTTCCTGTCAACAAGCCAGAAGATCTTCACCAAGCAGATCACCGCATGGAGGACCTCTATACGAGATGTACATGCAAGCCGTGCGTGAGCGTGACAGCTTGAAGGAATCCAAGGCTGAAGTTGACAAGCTGTACTTGCAGAACAAATCTGAACTCATTGACACCGAGAACCTGCTCAGGACTTTCCAGCAAAATTTCGATGAAACTGGTAAGAAGTATCATGATGCTCTGAACAAGATCGATCACATGAGCAACAATCCGAATGTGACGAGTAACTTGTTTGACAGTTTGCACAATGAAATCAATGACAGGGACACAGCTATTGCTCGCCTTCACACTGAACTTGAAGCCCAAAAGGATTCTCTTGAGCGTGCTCACAGGGATGCAGGTAAGTCCATCAAGATGTTGAACGACAGAAGACTCGTGATCAAAGGTGCGACTGACTATTCCATTCCCGAAAGCCATTTGACCGAGATGCATCAATTGGCAAATGAGCGTTTCGCTGAGGTAGAAGAGATGTCTAGCACCATTGCTGCCCTGAAGTTGGAAAACCAAGCTCATTCTTCTTCATCAATGAATAGACCGACTACATTACATGGGTACCCCAGTAATGCTATGCCTCGAAATGAATGTGAAGAGAAGTGTGCTAAATTGAGAGCAGAATTGGACGAGATGAAGCAAGAGAAGAACAATGAAATCCGAAACCTTCAAGATGAGTTGAAGAAGATGGAAGATCGGAAAGATTATTACAAGAACAATTTCTCTCAAGCTGAAGACCGTGCCAATGATGAAGAGCAGGAATACCGAGCAGAAGCTGAAGCCTTCGAGAAGCTCAGGAACGAGTACAACACCAATGTCAAGGAGTTGGAGAACCTCGAAAGGGATAGATCCAAGTCATCCGTATCTCTAAGAGAAGCCGAAAAGATCAGCCTCCAACCCTGGCCTAAGACCACTGAACTTTCATCCTGGAAGGGAAGTGTTGTTCATGAAGTTTGCGTTGCAAGTGGTGATCGAAACTATGAGGATTGGAAAGCGTGGCTTGCTCCGTGTCTTGCAGATCAACCTGACTTGGAGACATTGGCCAAAGCTCCTGATGTGAGATTCCAATCCATTGATGCCAAGCTCTCCAATGCCTTGAGAAAAGTCATTGACAATGCTGGGGACAAATCCATGCAAGTGAAGTATGACATGTCCATGAAGAACCAATTGTATGGGAGAAGTGGGGACTTCATCAAGGGACGAGAACTATTTGCAATGATACTGATTAGCTTCAAGTCACCTGACCATACTGAAGTTCTCTACAATGCCCATCATTTGTATATGTTCAACTATTATGGAGATGATCAGCTTGAGGCATTCTACAACAAGTGGCTTGACATCGTATATAATATGAAACATGATGATCTACCTTCCAACAATTCCCTGCGTGATACATTGTTCCGGAAGATTGAACATTCAAAGCTTATGGCCTTCGATATCAATCGATACAAGACCTTTGACGAAGGGCATCCTGAGAAGACCTATGCTTACCTAACTGGTATGATCAAGGGATACATAGCACGAGGGAAGCAAGAACGACTGTTGAAAGATAGAGAACGTGCAGTGAAACTGTCATTGTCCTCTAACAAGACGACACCTGCCCTAGAAGATGCAGACAAGCCTGCCGCTCCCGTCAAAACCAAGAAGGAGAACGAAGCAGCCGCATCGTCTACAGGTGATCCTCCCAAACGTCCTAAGGCGAAAGCGAAGAGTGAAGCTGCATCAGTACTTCCTACACCTTCTCCGAAGTCCCATGCCGACAAGAATAACAAGAAAGGCAAAGGTGGGAAGGGAAGATCATCTTCACCCGTGGACAAGAAGAAGATTTTTTGTAACTATTTCTTCAATAAAGGAGGATGCAACAAAGGTGACAAATGTCTTTACAGTCATTCTCAAAAGGTCTATGATGCCAAGATGAAAGGTAAGAAAGGCAGAAGCGGAAGTCGAGATTCATCAAGAGGGAAAAGTAGAGGAAGTTCATCTTCAGCTGGACCCAAAAAGAAGGTATGTTGGAATTGGCAAGAAGGTACCTGCAAGTTCGGAAGCAAATGTAAATTCCTACATGCAGACAAATCGCCTTCAGCATCCTCAGAGAGAACCAGCAAGAAGACGCCAAAGAAGAAAGGGACTCCCATTACCATTGATTCCTTCTTTGATAGCGACAATGAAGATTCCATGGATTATACCTCTCCAAGGATAGCCAGCGCAAAGAAGTCTTCTGATGATCGCAGAATCTCATTTGATCTGGAACCTGAGGTGCACGAGATTGCTATTGAGGACTACCAGGAGGGACTACCCAAACGTATGTATCGTGACCCCAACAAGCAATATGTCTTCTGGAAGATTGACGAGTTGACCGACGATCAGTCCAAGTCCGACAACACCCTCGGTTTAGTCCGAGCACGGGCCAAGGCCATCATCATGGACAGATGTGGACTCCATCGTTTTGTTGATGAAGTTAGAGTCATTATTGGCCCCAAGTTCGACATGTTGATCAAACTGGACAATGATCGTGATGACTTGACTTTTATTGAAGAGCTTGTTGAACACGAAGTTGGAAACTCTCTCATGAAGTCCAAGAACATAATGTGCATTTCATTACCAGTACAAGCCAAAGATCGTAGATTCATCCTGGATTCTGGCAGCGGACACGATTTGATTTCTGTAAGGAAAGCCGAAAGGATGAACTTGAAGCAGCGAACTTGTGATCCTATCATGTTCCACACAGCCAACGGTTCAACTGCTACTCAGACGGAAGCAGAGATTGACCTGGGAACCTTTGATGTGACCTCTCATGCCTATGTACTGGACGACACTCCGTCCGTGATGTCTCTTGGGAAACGATGCATGGAAGAAGGATATTCCTTTGTATGGCCATCTGGTAAGATGCCTTTCATGATTACGAAGAATGGAGAACGCATCGATTTGACAATCCATGACAACATCCCCTACGTTGATCTTGGAACATACGAATGCACTCCTCATGAATGTCATCATGCATCGAAGATCCATGACCTATTGACACATTCTCATGTCGGATTCAACGATTTCAATGACATTGATGATGTTGGTCAACCCTCACGAAGAGTACATCTCGATGGAGAAAGTGGTCTTGAGACATC